AACTCAGAATTTGAAAATACCTTCGATTTTCTTGTGCGCATCAAATGATTTTTTGGGTCAACTGAATTTTTTTGATTTCCAATCCCAAATCGTGATATTGAGAGAGAGAGAGAGAGAGAAAGAGAGAGAGAGAGAGAGAGAGAGAGAGAGGGAGGGAGATCGACGGGAGCGTGCTCTGTAAATCGATCGAAAGAATAATGAGTTATAATGATTTTTTGGAAAATATGAGGATAATTGCGTCTGTTACGGAGGAGTGGATGACTGCAAGATTCTTGGGATTAAACTAATGAACCGTATTTTTGATATTATTTGCATCTATAAATCCTGGTATGATAAAACTTCTTTCCCATCGTAAATATGAAATTAAGATGACTAGGAGTCATAAGTATGTAAATTTCCCAAAGTAGACTAGGTCTAATTATGTGACAATCAAAAATTGAGACCAAGTCTACACTTGGGTATATTTTGGACCCAAGTACAAACCTGAACAATCAGCATTAATTTCTAATTTAATTTTTCTCTTAATATAGAAAATATTTTAGAATATTTTTATTGGTTGACAAATATTCTAGACCTAGTATTTTGTTTTTGCACTGGATGACTTTTGGATTCTTTTTACTTGGGTTTGTCCATGTTGTTCAGGACTTAAATCTATTTATATGCCACATATGTAAAATTGAACCTAAAGCATTGTAGATGCTCTTAATGACTAGGTGGGTTTGTACTTGGGTCCAAAATAGACCCAAGTGTGGACTTAGTCTATTTTTTCTAAGAGCACCCACAATGCTTTGGGTTTCTTAGAAAAAAGTTACATGCCATGTAAGAAATAGACCTAGTCTATAAAAAAGTGTTCTCCAATGCAATTAAAAGTGGACCTAGTCTAGCTTATGTGGCAATAAAAAAATGAGACCTAGTCCACACTTGGGTCTATTTTAGACCCAAGTACAAACCCAAGCACTCATCATTTATTCCTCATTTAATTTTTCTTTTAATAAATGAAATATACTAGAGCATTTTTATTGGTTGTCATGTATTCTAGACCTAGTACTTTTTTGTTTTGCATTGGATAGATTTTGGTTTTTTTAGTTTAGGTTTGTCCATGTCATTATGGACATAAGTCTATTTATTTGCCACATATACAAAAAGAGACCCAAAGCATTGTGGATGCTCTAATGCCACATAAATTAGACTAGGTCCACTTTTAATTGCATTGTGGAGTTTTTTTTATAAACTAGGTGTGGGAAATTTCCTACATGGCATGTGATTTTTTTTCCCAAATGATTGTGGGTGCTCTAACCAATAACTTACCAATTAATTTGGCTGTGAATACTTGCTACCTATACCACACTGCCACCTCACTTGTCCCCTCGTCATCTTCATCTCTATTCAAAAAGTCTCTCACACACTCTCACCTTACCTGCGTGTAATTCTCGAGAAGCATCTCTGAAAATGGCTGGCGTCGACTCCGCTAATCCTGTCGCTCCGCCGCGGCCGCGCCCGGCCTTCCACAGCATCGGAATTAAGGTGGATGATTTGAAGCGTTTAGACATCGGCCAGCTGTCGCAGTCGGAACTTCAAGCCCTATCCTCATGCTCCGCCTCCGCCTTCGACGTCCGCCGTACGGACGACGTCGTTTCCCCGCAGCTCGACCGGTCAGTCTTCAACGAGTCCGCCGGCAGCCGCCGCCAGACCTATTCCCGCCTCCATCACCGCTCGCACTCACGCCTCCCGGGCCCCCACCACTCCCTCAAACCCCACCGCCAACCACAGCCTTCGTCCGACCCGGTGACACACTCTATCGTCCATTTCCTCAAACACTTCCTCAGCGGAAACTACAGTCCGCCACCCCCTCCACCGCCGCCGCTGCATGAACATCCGGAAGCTGAGGCGGCTCCGATCGGCAACTTAGGGTATCTAGGGTTACAGGGGAACTCGAAAATTAAGCGGAAGAGGATGAGGAGCGGAAAGATAATGAGTGAAAAGAAGCTTCTGGAAAATGGTGTGGGAGTGGAGCTGCAGGAGGTTAATGGCAGAGGTGAGGTGGTGGATTTGGTGGAGTTGGAGGAGAAAGGGGATGAGCTATACAGTGCAGAATTGAGGAGAAGGACTGTAGGCTTGGAGACTGAGGAGGATGTTTTGGGGTTTTTGAGTGGTTTGGAAGGGCAGTGGTGTAGCAGGAGGAAGAAGAGGAAGTATGTAGATGCTGGTTTATTTGGATTTGTACTGCCGATTGGCTGGAAACTCTTGCTTGGACTTAGGAGACGTGATTACCTTTTTTCTGTTTATTGCCGCCGATGTATAAGGTGGTGACAGCTTCATTGTTCCCGTTGTGTATTTTTTGATATTTGCTTTTGTTTGCATGTGCACTCGTGTATTATTTGGCTTTGTGTATTTGGGAGGAACTTGTGGATTTCCGTGTAATAATATGTGGCTTGTTAGTGTTGTCATTTGAACTGCATAGTCTGCATTTTGAAGTTTGCTTCGTTGTTATGCCGTGGGCTTCACATTGATTTTGGATTGTTACATCTGCATTATGTGATTTGAGTATTAACTATAGATTCCGGTGGTTCTGGAGATTACCTGTCTATTTAGAGTTAACGACTTTGTGTCTGTCAATTATGAATAATCAATCATCACCACATTTTCTTCTTCAGTGTGCTACTAGTTTTATTGTATGTACAATAATGAAGTTATCTTGAGAAATGTTCTGTCATGATTAACTTTTGATCTTAACCCTTTATGTGCTGGAGGCATGTAACATGCTTGTGATTTTCTTCTGATGCACATCAACTACTGTTAATATCTTATTGTGAATGAACTCACATGGCTAACTATCATTCACAATTTCGGCCTTTCTGATCTTGACATATATGATAAACTGCAACACTATTGTTAGAGATGACATCAGAAATATCATAACATTTTCGGCCTTTCTGATCTTGACATATATGAAAAACTGCAACACTTTTGTTAGAGATGACATCAGAAATATCATATGTTTTTTTATCTTAGGATTGCCTCTACAATGATTCTAAGGCACCTTTTCATGGTTGTACTCATTATAGCTACTTGCACATGTTTATTTTCATCTGCAGCCTTTTTCCTTTTAATGATTTTACTTCTATAGTATGATTGGTTGTGCTCTAGCGTGACCTTCAGTATGTGAGAGAATTTCTTCAGGTTTTAGGAATTCTTTGTTTGTATATCTAGGTGGTCCAATGAACTAGTGACAGATGCGTGATATTCATTACTGGGTAGGCTGTATGATCTGGATTATGGCTTGAAAAACAGTGCAATATTTGGAACTGCAGTTTTATTCATTATTTTGAGCTTGTACTCGGCGCTAAATTCTACATCATGCTTTTGTAGCTTGATTGAGTTATTTCGATCTTCTAATTTGGGTTATTCTTGGTCTGATCCCCAGCCCCACTGGACAACAATTTCTGTCATGCAAAGAGGCAGCATCTTTTTTGAAATCATATTTTGCTGGTAACGATGAAGAACAAAAAAGGGTGCAAAAGACCTGCAGCATTCAGCAAGCCTATGTCTTGTCTTCTGGGAAGGTATACATGTTCATATCTAGTTTCTCTTTCTTTTTCTTCAATGTTGGAAACTTTTACGGAATGAGTTTAAATGAATCTGTAGCAGGATGAACTGCCTGCTGATAAGACGGATGATATGGCCCATGACGAAGTATCCCATTCAGCTCTTGTCATAGATGCTTCAAATTCAGTTGACATTGAAGATTACTTGATGGGCATAGATAACCTCCCCGAAGTTCAAGTTAAGGATATTTTTGAGTGCTTCAAATGCAACCTCACATTCGATGAGAAGAATTTATATTTGCAGCATCTCTTCTCGTTCCACCAGAATACTACGAAGAGGTACAAGTTTGGGACGCCTGTTGGAGAGGATGTGATCATTAAAGACGGGAAATACGAATGCCAGTTCTGTCAAAAGGTCTTTGATGAAAGGCATACTTTTAACAGCCATGTGGGGTTTCATGTAAGGAACTCCGGAAAACATCCTGATGAATTAGCCCTCGCTGTGAATCTCCTACAAAGAGATGAACCTCAAATGCTGGATGCAGTTCCCTCAGGGTTATCGAATATGGATGTCTCAACTGAAATTGCTCAGAATTCGACTTTAGAGCCTTCCAGTATTGTCACTCATGAACAAGCCACGGCTGATCAATCTGTAAATGTAGTGCAAATAGAAGAAGTTTGTGTGGACTCCACTGAACCTGCCAAAATTCAGGAGGAAGATCACTGTGGTGACCTGACTGTGACTGAAGACTTGACTCATGGTAATAAAATCATGATGGAAGATCACGGCATGGCTGAGAATGATTTTTCTTGGGATGTGAATGTTAAGATAAATGCTGGTTGCATAAATAACGCAGAGGCATCGAGGTCGGGTGAAAACATCGATAAGTATGAACACAGTAGTTTGGATATGGGTGATGGAGACAGATGTTTGAAGCCCAATGATGCTCATCTGGAAGGTATACCTGGGTTAACTGTGGGAGATATTGATTTCCAGGATGCGGTTTCCTCCGAACCCTTGGCCCAATCATTTCAATTTTTCCCCACCTTCGATTCTGGGTCAAATAAGGTAACATATTTGTGTTAATTTTGTAAATGTTTTCTCTTTTGGGAAATACTCCTTAGGAATGTCACTGAATTGAGTAGCCAAAATGTCCAATTTTTGAATTTCAGCACAATTAAGAACTATCTACATTTATGCTGGATGGAATCTATGTTTCTTGGCATCACGATATCAAAATTGGTCTTATTATCTTCTATTCCGTGTTATAAGCATCAGCTTTTTAGCATTTTAATTGTCTAACCTTCATTTGGAATTGACATATTTGTGAATTCTAAAAACGCAGCTGCACTGTATATTTTATTTGTACAGAGTTACGGAAGTTTTTTAATATGTCTACCCTAAAGATTGCATTCAGCTACTAGTACGTCTTTAAGTTTGCTGCAGCTGATTCTATTTTCCACCATTCTTATTGTCAGAGAGAGAATGAGTTTTCAGTAGTTGATCAGAAGCTTGACAACGTTTCGGGTTTTCAAGAGCTGAGGTTTGAAGATTTAGATCCTTTTAAGTACGGTTTCGAAAATGGACAAGAGTTGTCGTCCTTGCCAGGCGGGCACATGAATTTGGGGAATGGCAGTGGGGTAGTAGACGGATTTGATTCATCTGTTGCATTTGGTTCAGACGAAGTTATGATGAACACGGTGGACATAAATAAGCTGACCGTGTGTGTGTGGTGTAGAACAGAGTTCAGACTCGAGGGTATTGAATCAGAAACTCCATCAGATACTATAGGCTACATGTGCCCTATGTGCAAGGCTAAGATATCGGGGCACTTTGGCGGTGGTGGGCTGTCAATGGATCCCAGTGAGTTCTGATTGCTGTGTGGTATAACATTCTTTCGCGCAGAGGTAACTTTCCTAGTATGAATAAGTATTGTGATATATACTAGTTGTTAATAATTTCAGAAATCAGAACTGGTGAACAATAAGGTTAAGGATCTTTACCATGTTAGCGGCCCTGTTTTCGTTGAGTGACAGTGTGCTATTAACATCCTATTCGGAAGGTGTTTCTATAGCAATCAACCTTTTTGTTTAATTGTTTCTTTTCCATTTGGAATACCGAAAATTTGCTGTTATTACGAAAAAGAAATATGAATTTCGGATTAAAAAAATTATTGAAACATCAGCTCTCTTTAAAAAATTGTATGTACCCTTTCTCTCAATTTTACAAATTGCACCCTCGATAGAGGGAAGGTTTTTAAGAAAATGCAAATCTCAACGGGTTGGTTGTACTCCAGTGTAGGAAATTGTAATTTGGAAGCACACATGTGCGCTCATACTCACAGATTAGGTTAAATCTCAGAGTTTAGTGTGTAATCCACCTGAGATAATTTTATTTGGAGACTTAGCTTAAAGTTGTGTATCACCAATTTTAATGCTGTCACTCCAAAGTTATGACATTTGCATGTATTTTTCTCGGTAAACGCTTCAATAATCACATACTGTTTGTTTTGATGTACGCCTTTAGACAACTATAACTTGCGTCACTTGTTTTTTTGTAGCTTTGCAGCTATGGTTCTTTTGAGAAGACAAGTTCAAGATGCTGTGGGATAAAGTGTCTGTCATGCCTTGTTGGAATACCGAGCGTCTCTATTGGAGTGTATGTATGTTAAGGTTAACTTATGAGACTTCCAGCCTGACCATTTCTTTAAATAATTAACCCGTCCGACAAATGAGTGGATTATGTGTTGCCTGTGCTTGAAAGCAGAGATTCTCCTATCATCTGTATATATGTCTAGTATATGCCCTGTGTTTATTGTATTTCATGCCAGTACTGGAAACATGTGATGCTATGTACTAGTCCTTGTATGTCGGCTTCATTGTAAATGCGTAGTTATACTTGATGATTGTGCACTAGTGACATTGTTGCAAGTTTTTTATCTTCCGGTGAATGGTGTATTCATGTGAGTTGCCAACGATTGATTACATTTTATACCTCCGCTGTGGTTGGGTATCTTGCCGACTTTAGCAATTTCATTGGTGAAAGTAACATTGGGAAGTTTAGGTTCCCCCAAACCAACTGACGACTGCCACCCAACAAACAAGATCGAAGCAACCCCCAACGGCAACCCCCATACGCCCAACACAGATCAAATACAAGAGATAGGGAAATCAAAGCTCTTGTCAAGGAAAATCGACGACCAACCATAGTTGGCCGTCAAAATCTGCCGCCCTAAGCATCCCGGCAACCTGACGGACCCCCAATCTGCCATGACCTATCTAGGCAGGAGAGTACAGCTGCATCCCTTCACTGCTCAATAACGACATTGCAACTGACGCCAGACACCGAACACCAACTGGAGGAAGAGAATCGCAACTCAATCACCAATCGCCACTTTTGTCTCGCTTTCTTCTAAATTACATCTATCCTCCCCCTCTGGGGACATCCCGGAATATCCATTGTACTTGCTTATCCTGGCCCTTCCTAGGTGAATCGAACTACCGCCTCCTCCCACCACGGGATCCGGCGGACGAAGCCCGAGAGCCACGTCTGTCGGTCGGACCCCAATTCCCATCTGATGCGGATAGTTAATAAATATATTATTATTATTATTATTATTATTATTATTATTATTATTATTATTATTATTATTATTATTATTGTTATTATTATTATTATTATTTAGTAGATTGGTGAACAAGTTAAGTTTAAGGCTTTAGGAGTCTTATCTAAAGACTCATTCTTCTTTGTTATTTGGAAAGTTGATTTTGAATAAAAATGTGAATTGATTATGAGTTTTATCGAGAGAGTATCTCGTTTTACGTGTTTTACGAGAGAGTATCTCGTTTACTCATTTATCCTTCCCTTCGTACGCTTTCCCTACATCACCATCCCAGAAATCGAGGGTCTGGGGAGTGTCGCAGTCTTGACCAACACACCAGCAACCAGCAGGTAGCGTCGTCCCGACCCCACGCCTCCTCGTCAACTGACAACCACAAAAACCCTCCCGGGGGCCAAAGTTCCACCAAACAGAGAGGGGAAAACCAAACTTACCAGGGGAAGCAGAGTCTGGCCAGGACCGCCCGAGAGAGGGATGGAGCTGCGGCAGACAGCCTCGCCGGAGAGGAGGCGCACCACAGGCTCGAAAGTGTAGGGTTCAGAGAAGGGGGTCTTTTTTTTCTGAGAAGAGTGAGAAATAATAGGAAGGTTCAACTTCATTTCTTGAATCTTCAAGAATGACAAAACAAAACAAAACAAAACAATGAAACAATATTGAGAATTATATCATTTGTCAAAATATTTGAGAGGAGAAAAAATAGAATTCTAGTATATTATAGTACTCTGAGTTATATGTGAGATTTATTATCACGAAGTCATTATTAAAATCCACATTTTGTATTATAAATTTTATAATTTTTTTAATTATTTAAAATTCAAAATTGATAATAGGATCATTATTTATGAAAATTAATTTCTTATAGAGTCCATATATTTAAACGATAGCAGCGAAAAATGTAATAATTTTAAAATACTTTTATCTCTAGATATTGGTATTAATATTTCTATAAGAAAATTTAGATATTTTCATTTTCCAGCATTGTTATTGTCTTATTCGCTTTTTTACTTTATTCACAAATAATATTTTATTTGTTGAAAGAAGTAGACCACATTCATACGAATTGCGTCAAATTTTTGTACATGTTTTATATAATGATGTTATTAAAATATCTTATTTATTAGGTACAACTAATATAATCGCATAAGATAAAATACTATTTAATATTACTTATTTAGAATAATAATAATAATAATAATAATAATAATAATAATAATAATAATAATAATATATTTGATAAAAATATATTTATATACGGTTTGTAAGATAAGATTAAAAGTTAATGATTTTTTCCAATGTTTGATAGAATATTAAGTAAGTAACTCATTTTCATATTCACAAAAATATATGTTACAACCATTATAATGTATCTTGTTTGTTTTGAAAATAATTACTAATTATCATAAGTTAAATGATAATTACATTCAATGTGTTGAGTTTTGTTACATTATCAACAATTTTCATAATAACTACGCGCACACAAAAATATGTAATGATTTTTTTTTTCATTAATTTAGAGCCCTACTTTACTTCAGAAAATGGTGAAATTCCATCACAAATATATTACAAAATTTCAACGACAATTCTAACGAATATTTCAATGTTTTACTCCCATTTGAATTTTTCAATGAAAATGTTGACATCCGAACTGGCGACCCCTTAATCAATCGACACGTGACAATTATATAACCACCCGATCGACCTAAAAGGGTGGGCCGGATAAACCAGCTCAACTCGCAAGCCATATGACGACCAACTCGGTACAGTACGATGGTCCAAGCAAAGGATTAGAAATCCTCATCTCATGGTCGACCTACGACCTCGAAGGTGAAAACAACAAAATGTGAGCAACTCGATGTGGAGGAAAATTTTGCAAGGAGCTTGGTTACCCTATTATGGAGAAGGCGATCAAAATCTCTTGGGGGTCGACCTCTGGCGTCACATTTAATGTGGAAAAGATATATTTGTCCGTCATACTATTGAAAGGTGATCATTAGACATATGATCCACTATGCAGAGCCGCATGTCACCGTCAGATCGCATTAAATAAAAACGTGCTAACCTTAAGAACCATGTCGTCCGTTTTACAATATAAAAACCTCTCATTTATTGTAATAGAGGCAGATTCGAGTATTTTGTCTTTAGAAACTACTCTGAAGTTGTACTCGATAACTTGTGTTGCTTCACTATATAAAATTAGCGTCACCTGACCTCAATCAGTATTAATAATGTTATTACTTAAGAACTTCCCTAAACTGTTGATACGTATTTCGTATATCAACAGATTGGCAGTTGTTTAAACAGTAGATACGTTATTCTTATATCAACATGTTGGCGGTCGTTTGAGGGCGCAATACATTTCTTACTTCGGCCTTCGTCTCCAGACCCTCTGGTCCACAGGGGCGGAGGTACGTTGAACTTTACATGGGCTGTAGCCTGGGTGATCTTTAGTATTTGTATGTCAAAAAGGAAGTTGAATTTTATAGTAGCCCATGTTTCAGATCAGAGGCATATATGCCCAAACAATTAAATAAATGAAGTTAAATATTTATATCACCATCCAATCAACATTTGGAATACTTAATTTGCTGCATCTGAGAATAAAAAAAAAATCTCAAAAAAAAATTCCGAACATCAATATTTTTAACTCAAAATTTCTCAAAAAAAAAAAAATAAAAAAATAAAAAAAATCCGAACATTTTTTAACTCAACCAATTTATTAACTCAACCTTACTATCATCAATATTATCAATATAATTAAATATTATCGATCAATCATTCTTACACACACATCACCTTTATTCACTATTCATCAACTCACATAATTTAACTAACCATCATTTCAAATCTTCTCTCTCTTACTTTATATCAAATGAACTTTAATTATTTTATTTTAAATATTATTTTAATATATCCAAACAAACTATTTTTTTTTATATCCAATAATCATCAATGTTTAAATACTTCATTTTTCTTTTCAAAACACTTCGTGAGAAATTTATTTATTCGAAAATACATTGTGAAAAAAATTGTTCACTTTTTATTAATTCCTGTATTTTTTGTTAATATTCTATACATATCTTATAAGTTAAAATTAAAATTATTTTGATAATCAACAAATAGACATTTATATTAAATTTAAAAAAAAAATTAAAAACTTTTAGTGCTATTTATTACATATCATTACCAAATACAAGAGTTATTTTAATATAAGAAAAGTTATCTTGGGGCTAATTTAATAAATATTATTTTAACATATACCTATTATTATTTATCTATTGAAACTTACATTTTTAGAAATTTACTTATTATTTTTGTCTTTTCACATTTAGTATTTGTTTTTTTTTTAATTGTGTTTCATCTTTATTGATGGTGAATATAAAATAAATGGCTTGATACATTGAAATTCTAAGTTGTGTTAGTAAAAAAAGAGTTACAAATAACGTTTTAATTAAATAATTTTAGCCATGGCTCCGGCCCTGCTGGTCCACCCTGTTGTATT